TGAGGGGAGACAGAGAAGAGGTGACAGCTTTAGAGAGCAGGGAGAGGGGAGGGAGAGAGAGGAAACTGGAGAGAGAGAGAAGGAAGAGAGAGTGGGAAAGAAGAGACAAGAAAAGGAGACTCAGGAGAGAAAGGAAGAGAGAAAACAGAGATGGAGCGAGAAGGAAGGAAGAGAGGAGGGAGGAGACAGTGCAGGATGGATGGATGAGAGAGAGGGCGAGGAGAAGGGGGCTGCTCGGAAAGGAGGAAGAGAGGAGAGAGAAGGAAAGGCTGGGGGGGGAGAGATGCCGGGAAAGGAGGAAGATGTGGAGGAGCGAGTCAGGGAGAGTGAGAGGAGAAAGAAGGGAGAGAAAAGGGACAGAGAAGGAGAGAGGAGACTGGGGGTGGGGGGGAGGGAGCACAGAGGAGAGAGAAGAGACAGAAGGAAGTGAGGGAGGATGGGAAGGGTTCAGGCCAGAGGGGAGGAGAGAGACACTGAGACAGTGAGGGGAGAAGGGAAGCAGGAAGGAAGGAAGGGAGAGAAAAGAGAGGAGACGGGAGAAAATAAGACAGAAAACAGAGTGAGAAAGAGGAAAGGAGAGAGGAGGATGGAGGGAGAGAAAGACAGGAGGGAGGCAGTGAGCGCTGGAGGAGGGAGAGAGCAGACATGGAGGATGGCGAGGAGAGAGGACCTTGGGGTGGGGGGGGAGAGGGAGAGACAGGAGGGGGAGGAGAGAGGAGAGAGGAAGAGAGGGGGAGAGGAAGCGAGAGGAGAGAGGAGAGGAGGAGGGACAGACGGAAGTGAAGTGAAGGCGGGAGAAGAGGAGAGACGGGAGGGAGAAAGAAAAAAGGATGGAGAGAGGAGCGTGTGTGTGTTCATGTGTGTGCACGTGCGTGTAGTGAGGGAGGATGGGCATGGAAGACAGGATGTGGAGAGAGGAGGAGAGAAGGAGACAGGAGGGAAGGAGAGGGGAGAGACAGGCATAGAAACAGGAGGGAAGAGATCCTACCAGGGGCAGAGCGCATGCACACGTGCGCGCACACACGCAGAGGCCGAGGGAGGGCTGGGGTGGGGGGCCAGGCGGAGGAAGGATGCGGAGGACCGTGGACGGCGGGGGGTGTGATGGAAGGGGCAGGGGGTGCGGGGCCAGGAGCTCAGAGAGGCGGCAGGAGAGGTGGAAAGTGAAGCCTGACTAGGAAGCTCGATGGAGAGGGTCTCAGCACACAGCCCCACCTGGGCCCACACCTGTCCCTCCCTGGCCGTGCAGCCCCCGTGGGCGTGTTTGTGACCAAGGAGAAAAGAGTGACAACTGAGACGACAGGGACAGTACAGAGTCAAAGGTGTGACAGAGGAGCCGGTGAATAAAGAGGGGAGGAGAGGAACGGGGGGGGGGGGGAAGCAGAAGGAAGAGAAACAGAGACAGAGACAGAGTGAGAGACAGAAAGAAAGAATGAGAGACAGAGGGAGAAAGAGTGAAAGAGACAGAGACAGAGTAAGAGAGACAGGGAGAGGCAGAGAAAAAGAGTGAGAGAGAAACAGAGTGAGAGACAGTGAAAGAGAAAGACTGAGAGGGACAGAAAGAGAGAGACAGAATGAGAGAGGGAGAGACAGACACACAGGACGGAGAGAGGAAGACAGAGAAGAGGGAAGGGAAGGCCTGCCACCTCCCGGGTGACAACGGGCAGTGTCCCCATGTCCCAGTTAAGGACGAGCTGTAGAGGGACGGACGCAAATGTGCAGCTGCAGAGACCGCGGCTGATGGTCCAGGACCTGGCAGGACAGGAGACAGTTTCGTAAACTGTGAAACAGAAATCACAGGGCCGTTTGTTCTGGGGCAGGATCGAGACACCACCAGCATGAGGGACACCCGTCCCTGCCCCGTCGGTTGTCCCACAGGACCCCAGCTGTTGGAGTCGGCAAGAAGACGGGACGGGGAGGGGAGGGCGGGTGAGGGCTGAAGACAGCAGGTGTGGGGAGAGAGACTGAGAGACGGAGAGACAGAGACCAGAGAGAAGCGGGGAGACGCTCAGGAGGGAAAAAGGCCAGGAAGCGGTGGGGGAAACCGGGGAGGTTACAGCGTCCAGGAAAGCAGGGAGGTGCGGAGAGGGGCCGGGCGGAGTGGCGGAAGGACGATGGGGCCAAGGTCGGTTCAAGGGCGATGAGAAGATGGAGGAGGAAAGAGCGAGGAGTAAAACATCAATGAAAAGAAGGTACAGGAAAGCGTGAGTGAGGGTGAGGATGGAAAGGGAAGGAAATAGGAGATGGGGCGGGGGGGGG